TCCTGCTAACCTCCATGATATTTAGCACCTGCTATCTTACAACTTATCGAAAAATACTGATTTCCGTCACGATGCGCTAAGCCAGGAGAACCATATATTCATCATCGTCATCATCATCATCTTCCATCGCCCCTTCTCCTTTCGGGTCGCGGAGGCAGACACATCAGGCAGAGCTTTCAATGTTCCCGATCCTGTGCCAGCGTCTGAGCTTCGGCAAAAGACAAATGGAGTCTGCAACAGACTTGTTCCATACACTTGCACCAGGTTAATCAGAACCATATATTCTCTAATGAAAATGTCGGCAGTTTTACGATCAGTCAGGAGAATAGTATCCTGCCTTCTTCCATATGGTGTCATCTATTTACCTCGATTAAAGGCTGAAGCACGATTTGCCTTGGTCTTTTGACTCTGAAACGCGTTGAGCAAAAGGCTTCGGCAAAAATCTCGTTTTGTAGTACAGTCTGCTGCCATGAAAATCTTTCCTTCGTCAATAAAATAACTTCTCTTATAATTAATATGCTAGACCAAACTTCATGAAAGAGCTGTGATTGATTGATATCGCTTTAATACATGGAAAAAAAATCAATTTCCGATTTTGGATATGCACACTGATCAAAGTAGGAATATCTAAACGGTCTTCCTGGATATGAAGAAAGCACAGCGATATGAGCGAAGACAATGTGATGGTAGGACGCGGTGGCGCAGCGATAAGGAAGTCGGATCCGACCTCTGGAAACGTCACGCCAGAGGTTTGATCCGGCGTGACGTTTAGATTCGAGAGGAGACAATCTTTGTCCTAACCTCGAATTCCCTTGAGGAGTGAATTCACATGACGTTGCTTCGGTGGAACCCACCGAGAAACGGATGGCAAGTTGTTGAGTTGCAAACAACCGGGACCGCTGCTGTTGTTCCGGGTGGTCATACCGGGATGCGAAAGAGGCACCGTCGTGCTTCCTGGTGCGAGCGAGTGCCTTGTATAGCTGCAAATCACCTTGCCCCACCTGAATACTGTTTATTCAATGTGGTAACCTGTTATCAGCTGAAGGTGTGGCCACTGTTGTTGTTGATAGTAGAAGAAACTATGATAATATTGTGAATATTATAGAAGATAATATGGTGAATGTTGAAAATATAGAAATTGATGACAGTTAGTCGAACCACAAGCTCTCTGAAATCGCAACGCTGGCTAGGTGTATGAATGGGCAAACAGAAGACACCTTCTTCAGTAAAGTTTTCAATAGAAGATTCACAAACGGTTAGCAAAGAGTTCCTCTTTGTTTTCTATCGAGACAGGTGGGCTGTCTTAAGAAGCATATGAGTCATCACTACGTTTGTACCCTAAACAGAATTTTCCTCGCCGGATTAGGAAATCACATAAGACGAGGCTTTGAACGAAATCCTTATATAAGAGATCGCTTCGGCTCAGTAAAACCGCTATGGAATACGCGTTGTCGATCTGTTTCAGTCGGAAGAACAGTGAGAACTTGTGGTAATCGAACAATTTCTTTCCGGGGCTCCAAGATTCAACCACCTTACTTCCGTTGCACGAGCAAAGCAGGAGTCGACATAATTTTATCGCATATGCATCGAAGTGACAGATGTGACTTTTGGCAAGAAAATCCCATCCTCACTAAGTCATGAGGTGTAATAACGGGAGTACATTTTTAATGAGTCCAAGCGAAAAGAGACGATCTACAACTGAACCTCAGATAAATAGGGTAGGTTTACATGAATAGGTAGTTGAAAATATCAAGAATTCAGTTAAAACTTGTCCATGCAGCCGAATTACCTGAAAGTTGCTCAATAGCAGGAATGTTGAGGACCAAGGAGACAGGGTATCCAAAATAACGGCTATTTTGGGAAGAGAAGAAGAAGAAAGAAGGGGAAGAAAACAGAGGAGAGGAGAGTGAAGAAGAAGAAACAGTGAACATCAAAGAAAAGGTAGCACCATATTGCAAAGAGTAGCAGGAAGCTGTCGAAAGCCTTGACTAAGGATCAAAGAATGTACAGAAAATGACTCGCATGTGCTTGAAACAAGCCGCATATTACCTCTCTTCAAAATATTCATTTACCTACTTCGTAAGGTTAAGTTTGAAAATCCGCTCAAGATTCGCAATAACGATCTTTCCTCTGAGACATTTACACGATGACAGCATAGATCGAGGTTTTGTAGTCGGTAGAAGTTTTTAACTCAGTACACAGAGGTCCGAGGTTCGAGCCCGGTCAGGGTCACTCACCTTTCTTCCTCGAAGAGCGAAGCAGTGAACATCACCCTGTAGAAAGGAGACTTACAATGTGCTTGAAACATCGCTGCTAGCGACTCTTTCCTTAAAATAACCTCACACATGACCGATAGAACTGAAATGGAATCAGCATCCCGCCATTAATTTCATGAAAAACAGGGCATCAAAAATAGTGTCATTGCGAAATTGTAGGGAAGATCGATATTCCAACGATTGTAAACCTTTATTTTTCTAAATGACAACATTCAGAGGTGTCCGATGCATCTGACTCAATCACCGTTTTCATTACCTCGCCAAAGACCGTTGTACATACATTAGGTGTCTCACGGTTAATGGGTATATTCAGTATCCTGCTTCCGGATTTGGTTATATTTATTGACCACTTTTGAATCCGTGGATTTTCGAGACGTTGCATTCCCTGAAGAGCAGATATATTCAGAGGAAATACAGAATGATGCTTTGACTACAGTTATACGCATGTATAAAAACGACGACCATTCAGATATTCAGTTGAATTGAATTTATCCCGTAGACGACTAAGATGACATTACTCAGACATCACTGATCTTGGTACTCAGTGCTTGACCCTGATACCTCGGATGACGATGACAACAGCAACAACTAAGACGACATCAAATTGTCCTGGATAGATCATGTGAAAAACGTTGGACCGCGGTACCGAGTGAGTGATGG